GCGGCTTGGGCTAGTTGGTATGGCATGACGATGGTTATAGTGTGAGAACAAAATGACGACACAGAGACAAGAAGGACCTTGTCCTTCTTGTCCCTGTGTCGTCATTTTGTTTTCTCACTATAACTATCGTCGTTTTGAAGATGAGCTTCAAAAGTGGGAAAAAATATAATTACGTCATCCAAATAACAGAGACACGTAGACTACTTGAATCTGTGAAGCAGAGAATCCATCATTCGTTCGAATGTGGCGGGGGAATTACAAAAGCAGAAAGGCACGACTGAATTGGTAGAGGCCGTCAGGTGTTACAAAATTCTTATGGCCTACAATGCTGTCATATGTCTGGCAATATTGCCACAGAGACTAATTACACTATCCGATATTATGAAGAATCAGCGTCCACAGTCTTTTGGCAACTCCTGTTTGTGGCCGCACGACTTATGCCTTTTGTTCATGGGCACGAGTCAGTGTGGGTTGGAGCTGTAAAGAAGAAGAAGGCGCATTGGCGGACGAACAGTTTTTGTTTTGGAACATTCTAGCGGGCTCTTTCATTTTTCTTGCCCATAATTTTCAGGGCACAAGTTCGCCCATAATAAACTAGTTTTTGGTGTTTCTTCTCTTGGACCCGTTAAATTCTGGTGAAGGTGCTGTGTATGATTGGAAGCCCCCTTGGCGCAAGAGAGCGAAGCCCCAATCCTCAACAATTGGAACCCGGCAAACTGACTCCGGTGCACCAGCGTTCAAGCCTCCCCCTTCAAGAAGAGCCGCTTGAATTCGCACCCCTCCCCAGCGCTCCAGCAACGCAAGCAGCGTCTACAGACAACGGAATGATGGCTTGCCAGGTGACATAATCCAAACTTATTCTGTCTCCACCATGCTTGCCTGAGCCCTTCCACGGCGTCACGTTTGAAGATGTAAAGATTGGTTAGAACACTTCGAGCGAGTTGCGAAGACCAACGGCTGGGATGAAGCAAGGATACTGCGTCGCGTGTGCTTCGCATTGGAGGACACAGCGAGGACGTGGTATGAAAACCACGAAGCGGGCATACCGACATGGGAAGAATTTCGACGACAAATAGTTGCTACATATGCCAGCACTGATCGTCGGGAGAAGGCAGAGAATGCACTACAGTCCAGGAACCCGCGCACGTTCGAAGACGTTGGCATGTATATTGAGGACATGTCCCGCCTTTTAAAACGCGCTGACCCGAACATGACCAAGAGAAAAAGCTGAGTCACTTGATGTGGGTTGTCAAACAAAAGTTATTTGCTGGTTTGGTACGCAACCCACCTTGTACAGTTGCTGAATTCCACACCGAAGCCACCTTCATAGAGCGGGCACTGCAGCAGCACTCCCGTCACTACAATCATAATACGAGTAGTGTTCCTGTGGATGTCTTCTCAGCAAACCTCGGCAGCAGCAGAGAAGCATCGAGAGAAATGGTGCGATCCGTAGTGAAGGAAGAGTTCCAGAAGCTGCTGACCCCACAAGTAGCAACGCCAGTTTCGTCTCTCACTACCCTGATCAGAGATGAAGTTCGCCACGCCATTCTACAAGCGGAATCCGAGGCGCAACCTGTTCAACTTGAACAGCAATTGCAGAAACGCCCCGTACCGACTTACGCCAATGCTGTGCGCCAGCCCGCTGTGCATACTGCTTCGTTTGGAGCTCCCAGTGGCTACCGACAGTCTTCACGTGGCTCAAACTATCCAGCTAATTCGAGGCCACGGAAAAGGGACGTGTGGCGCACACCCGACAAGACGGCGCACACCCGACAGGACGCCGTTCTGTTTTCACTGCGGCGAAGCTGGACTCCTGTACAGAATATGCCCATATCGACGAGTTGGTCTCCGCGGGTTTTCCCCTAAGGCGCCATGCCCTCGAAATGGCGAAAGACCCGTTAAAATCGAAGATTACTTGTCCGGCCATCTGTTTCCAACTGCTGGTTTCCAGCATCAGCCTAGATCACCAGCGCCTGCTCGCTATCGATCACCAAGCGCTCGACGATTTAGTTCACCTTCTCCACCTTCAACTTCAACACAATATCATTCAAGCAGTCCTCATCAGGAAAACCGAAGCCAGCGACCTGTGGAGGCAAGGCCGCTGATGTCCGACCAACTGAAGATCCTCCCTCAAGGTCCCAGTGCAGCAACAATGAGCGGAACACTACAACTAGGTTAGGTAAAGACAAAATTTCTTCAGACTTACGCGTTACCGTTGACGGGTGTGAATTTACGTTTTAGTTGACACAAGTGCTGATTATTCGGTTGTCAGTTAAGCTGCCGCAAAGGATTGAAAGTTCTGACGCCTTGGAGTGGACCCCAAATGCACACGGCTGGGGGTCATCTCATTACACCTCCGGGAAGATGTACCGCAAGAATCGGAATTCAAGGCACTACTTACGTTGCTGACTTTGCCGTGCTTTCGAAATGATCTAGAGATTTATTACTCGGAATGGATTTTCTGCTAGCAAACAAAGCTATAATCAACCTGCAGAATTCTAGTGTCTTTTTTTCGACGAAACTGGCCATAGACACAAATAAGCCAGAGTACACAGCATTACGTGTTATAGATTGTGATGTTAGCGTGCCGCCACGATGCAGCGTAATAGTCAGTGTAAAAAATGAAGCATTCGTTGATTCTGAAGCTATAGCGGATGCAAACATCGAACTACAGCTCAAGAAAGACATTTGCGTAGCTCGAGGTATTGTTCAATTACGTGGTGGATGTGCCAATGTATTGCTCACGAATTTTGGAAACGAAATTCAGCATCTTGCAAAGGACACTGCTATCGCCTTCCTGCACAGTTTTGAAACAGTGACGGGCTTATGTGGTCTGGTGTCAGGGCCACCTGCTTCGGAACCTGCACCCGATGTCGCGGCAAGAGTTGCAATCAGCCAAAATCTTTCACCAGCCGAGAAGAAAATCATTTGAGACCTCATAAGAGATTTAAGCCGGATGTTTCTCTACCTCGTCAAAAGTACGGCCGACCCAGGTTGTTAAACACCGAATAATAACAGATGAAGCTACAAGACCGGTACAGCATCATTCGTACAGAGTATCACCGAAGGAACGAGAGATCATAAAGAGCCAAGTGAAAGAGATGCTGGAGAACGATGTCATACAGTCATTCAATAGTTTGTGGGCGTCGCCTGTAGTCCTTGTGAGGAAAAAGGACAACACACTGAGATTCTGCATTGATTCCAGAAAGCTGAGCAGCGTGATCAAGCGGGATGTCTACCCTTTGCCACGTATTGATGATACGTTGGATCGGCTACGGCACGCAAGGTATTTCTCTTCATTGAATTTAAAAAGCGGTTATTGGCAAATTGAAGTGGACGAAAGAGACCGTGAAAAGACTGCTTTCATAATTCTGGATTGTCTATATGAGTTTAAAGCACTCCCATTCGGCCTATGTTGTGCGGCTGCAACATTCCAGCGCATGATGGACAGCGTCCTTTCAGGCCTCAAATGGCAGTCGTGCTTAGTCTACCTGGACGACTTTGTGGTGTTTTCAGCAACGTTTGAACAGCATGTAGAGCGACTACGTTCGGTACTTCAGGCTATCCAGTCAGCCGGCTTGTTGATTAGACCGGAAAAATGCCAGTTTGGATTCAAGAAGCTTCGTTTCCTCGGTCATGTAATCAGCACTCAAGGTGTTGGCCCGGACTTGGACAAGACTGTGGCCGTGGGGCTGTTTCCCAAGCCAAAAGACAAGAAGGTGGTACACCGATCTTTTTGTTTATGTGCTTATTACAGGCGGTTTGTGAAAAATTTCGTGAAAATTGCCGTACCTCTAACAAGACTCACAGAAGAAGAGGTGCCATTTATTTGGAGCACCGAACAAGACAGTGCTTTAAACAAACTAAAGAAACGTTTGCAAGCCCCACCTTTCCTGGCCCATTTCGATAAAACCGCGAATACGGACGTTCATACAGATGCCAGCAGTCTTGGCCTAGGTGCGGTCCTGGTGCAATAGCAAAATAGAGAAGAGAAAGTGATAGCATATGCTAATAAATGAAATGTTAAGTTATGGTACCATTTCAATTCCAGCCAATGGCCATTAAGGCGGTAAGTTGGGCCAGTTGGTTAGGATCCATCGTGAACTTTCTTACAGCGCAACACCAGAAAAAATACAGGACAGGGAAGGAGTAGAACAGCGCCGTCTTTTCTTTCTGTTCTACTCCTTCCCTGTCCTGTAGTTTTTCTGGTGTTGCTCTGTAAGAAAGTTCACAATGGCCATTAACACTGTATGGGGGTCACAGGAAAACAGTTGAGCCAGAGGAGGCGCTGGTTGAGCAGAAATACTGGCTACAATGAACAGTAGTTCGACAGCAGTATACCGCACATATTTTTTCTGTGAATGGCATGTGGGCCAAGAGTGTTTTGAAGGAGATATTGTAGCCAGAAAAGCGGTTAACAACGTGAGTCCAGTTTCGATAGGAAGTGCAAGGGAAAGAGAGAAAAAAAGAAAACGAAATTATCTCTTGTTTTGATTGCAGTCTATTCCTCGCATATCTTGCGGCGCTTCAGTTCCTTGCAATGTGAGGGCGCACAACATCTGCCCAAAAAATTATGAAAACCCCAGCAGTGCACACAAATAGAGCAAATTCAGATTCTCCTTGTGCACCGCTGCAGAATGAACATGGCTGTCCCCCTTTGTTTCTCTCGTTGACGAATGTGATGCCGCTCTTCCATGTCAATTATAGATCTCCTCTTTGCGGGCTTCTCTTTGAACTGTATGTTATGCGTGGCTTGCACTGTGCTCTTTTTTTTTTACATCATAATGACGTATGCCTTGCTAACAATTTATTAACATGACAATGCATATGAGCACGACGCATATGCATGTCTCAATAAACAGTCGACGAGCTGTGCTCTAGGTGATGGTGTTTGCCTCTCTAGCACGCCAACGCGCATAGAGATCAGTGCCCCAAACTGTGGCAACAGCATTGCCTGCTAAGCGTGCTGCAGTTGAAACGAGACAGCTAAGGCCACCCACCAGAGAAAATTTTGGCAGCTCTGGCAGCTCTCCATACAATGTCACAGCCTGGCTGAAACCTGCGGCCACAACGAGGCAGCTAAGCTGGCCGCCTGAGTCTTTGGTGCTTCTGCAAGACGCATCGTGGCCTGCAAAAAAAAAACACTACTCAGGCACAGCCAGAGTCGCCCGCCAGAGAATTCTGCAGCTCAATCGCCATGCAGTGCCACAGCATGGTTGCATGTAAAGAAGATAACGCCACTGTGGCCAGGGCGCGCGATAGGCAAGCTAGAGGAAGATAATGACAAAGGGTAGAATAAGAACAGCCTCTCGGTATGCACAACTATTAAAGTTTCTCAATCCTCAAGTGCCATCATGACGTTACAATTTTTAATTCCATCTCAGCTAAAGTATTTGAATTTAGTATGAGTCCCAGGTCACTGTGCGTTAAAATTAACTGATATGGCACATGCCTTCACTCGCGCATCGCTATATCTTCCAATAGTACAGGTTCTTTCATTGGTAGAATATTTTACCGCAATCAAGCATAGAAGATTACCTATTCACACAGATCGGATGGAAGCTATAACTACATGGATATAATATAAGCACCTAAAATAACCATGGAAGTTACAGTGGAACCAATTTCGACAATTAGAAGTGCCGATCACTAGATTTCAATGCCCTGTCCCCCCCCCCATTAAACTTACATTTGCACATGGCTGGTCTGACGATATCACCCTTCTGGCAATCTGTGGAGAACTAAAAAATATTGAACATTACTTTTTGCCATGTTGAAGATATTCTCATATTAGAACTCGACTTCTCATTACACCTTTTTCAAAAATAGGCTTAACCATATAGGTGGAAAATGTTTTAAGCTTCAGTGTCTCAGGCTTGGGATACTGCCACACGAATGCTTGATTGTTTCAAATGAGAGCACACTGCGTAGACGTGGGCAGGATAGACAGGGGTCTGTCTGAGTCTACGTAGTGCGCTCTCATTTCAAACAATCATGTATCTTTAACTCGCCCAATCAACCATATTCACAGAGATACCTTTAATGTCGTGTGTCATTTCATTATAGCTACTCAACGAGTACCATTTTATTTGGGTATTTAAAATTTTTGGTCATTTCAACAAAGTAATACCTAACTAAGTTCTTCAAAATTGTTCCCATCAGGTTTGTGTGGCAGCCTGGAATATAGGCTCAAAAGCATTATACTTGTAGTTTAAATTCAATGTATTACATATTATTGCCATTTCATTTCTTCATTTTTTGAAAATTACCTATTCTAAAATAACATTTAAAAGTCTCAATGTTGCATTTTTTGGTTTTATTGCAAAGACAAAAAGAATATAAAAGGAAAATGAAGTCACACAGCGGAACAGCTGCCGAACAAAACACCGATCGAATATGAAGCTAAGCCGAAAAGCTCGCGTAGCACCGAGCCGGAATGCAGGGACGCCTCTTAAAGTGCTCGTTGCGAGTTAGGATTACAAAACGAAGCAGTGGCAAATCACCATTCATGAAAACTGTGCCACATGATCGCGGACGCTTCACGAGTCACAAATAAAGCAGCGAGGTGGCCGTTAATATTGTTGCGGTTGAAAAAAGGATAGGTGGATTTATTCACAGGGTGAAGATGAAGTTCGGCAGTCGCGGTAAAGATGGAGTCCTGAGACAACGTCAACTTCCTCTTCTACCTACCCGGCACATACTACAGCCCGGCTCATACTGTAGCAATCCCCGGTTCACAGAGGAAGCCCACTGGGCGAGTTTAAGTCACTGGAGGAATGAAATTTCTTGAGGCGAGCCACGTGCACCAACTGCGTTCGATTTGACCGACGAGAAGGTGTCGTCAAGCGTGCCACAACATACGTCAAGTCAGTCAAGTGATCTACAATGACGTAGGGGCCTGTGTACTGCGGTAAAAACTTCTGACATAAACCAGGTTTTCGTTGGGGGGTCCACAACCACACGAATTCACCTTTGCGGAATGAAATGGCATCATGGCGTTGATCGTACCGTTGCTTGGAGCATCTTGTGATGCCAGTGTGCGCAAGCGAGCAATTTGACGGGCTTCTTCAGCCCGGCACAATGTTTCAGCCACGGACTCATCTGTATGGAGCTTAAATAGAAGGATTGTATCAAGGGAGCAGCGTAGTGATCGAGCGTAAAGCAGGTAGAAGGGCGTGAAGTTCGTGGTCTCGTGCTTCGCTGTATTGTATGCGTAAGTAATAAATGGTAAGATATCATCCCAGTTTTTGTGATTGGATGCGACGTACATAGCAAGCATGTTAGTAAGAGTTCAATTGGTGCGTTCTACAAGACCATTCGTTTGGGGATGGTATGGTGTCGAATGTCTGAACAGTGAAGTGCAGAGGCGAAGCAATTCTTCCACAGCATCCGCGATGAATTGGCGACCACGGTCACTGATGATTACTTGAGATGGACCATGGCAAAGAACAATAGAGCGTAACATAAAGGCAGCAACGCCATCAGCTGTAGAAGATGGTATCGCAGCGGTTTCGGCGTATCTGGTAAGGTGGTCGACGCACACTATTATCCAGCGGTTATTGTTCGAAGATCGCGGAAACAGGCCCACTAGGTCGATGCCCACTTGCTCGAAAGGCGTAGTAGGCGGTTCTATGGGGTGAAGAAGGCCATGCGGTGCACTGGTAGGTCGTTTGTGACGCTGGCAGTTCTCGCAGCTCGAGACGTATTGTTTCGTAAAATCTTGCATACAAGGCCAGTAAAAACGCTGCTGCACTCGATGCAGGGTGCGAATGAACCTAAGGTGTCCTGACATTGGATCATCGTGCATAGTACGAAGAATGACGCATCGAAGACTGTGAGGTACAACCAGTAAATTACGTGCGCCGGTTGCTGAGTAATTCGTTTTGCACAACAGTCCATCACGAATGCGAAAGCGACCGTTGTCTTTGCGATTCCGAGCGTCAATGAACAAAGGGTCTAAAGATAAAATCATTCGATTATTCTCATTTGAAGATATTGGCGTCAGGAAACGTGTGAGATACCGCAGAAAAACAGATGTCGAAGGTATCTGCACTGTCCTCCGTTGTGGTCATAGGCAGGCGAGAAAGGCAATCAGCGTCCGAATGACGTCGTCCACTTCTGTACGAAATGCTGAAGTCAAATTCTTGAAGGTGTAAAGCCCATCGAGCAAGGCGGCCAGAAGGGTCTCGGAGGGTAACAAGCCAACATAATAAATGATGGTCTGTCACAATCGTGAATAGACGACCGTAGAGGTAACATCGAAACTTCTGAATGGCGAATACAGCCGCTAAACATTCTCACTCTGTCACCGTATAATTAATTTCAGCCTTGCTTAGAGATCGACTCGTATAAGCAACAACATGCTCTGCATTATCATGGCGCTGAACAAGAACATCTCCGATGCCGATTCCACTTGCGTCACTGTGCACTTCTGTAGGAGAAGAAGGATCGAAACGACGAAGAATAGGCTCAGATGTCAGTAGAAGTTTCAGTTCAGAAAATGCGGCATCACAATCAGGTGTCCATTCAAATGGGCTGTCTTTTCTCAACAAGCTCCTCAGTAGGTGTACTACGTCCGCGAATCAGGGCACAAAGCGGCGAAAGTAGGAACATAAGCCCAAGAAGCTGCGAAGTTCCTTCAGTGCCTGGGGTGGTTTAAATGTGCCAACTGCTTCGATTTTGCGGAGATCCGGCCTGACACCATCTTTGTCAACTAGGTGACCGAGAGGTAAAGCTTGTCGTTCACCAAACCAGCACTTAAGAGTTCAAAATCAAGACAGCCTTTTCGACACAGTCTTAAACAAGGCTTAAACGGACGTTGTGTTCTTCAAAGGTACACCCGAAAATGACGTCATCCAAGTAGCATAAGCACACCTCCCATTTAAGACCACAAAGGAGTCCATAAACCTTTCAAAAGTGGCGGGGGCGTTGCAAAGCCCAAACGGCATCACATTGAATTGGTACAGTCCATCAGGCGTCACGAATGCGGTCTTCTCCTTGTCTGAAGGGTGCATAGGTATCTGCCAATATCCTGATTGTAGGTCTATTGAAGAAAAGTACGAAGCCGAGTGTAAGCAGTCAATAACATCGTCAATCCTAGGCAGCGGATATACATCTTTTTGGTCACGGCGTTGAGTCTTCTGTAATCAACGCAGAACCGCCAAGCACCACCTTTCTTCTTAACCAAGATGACCGGTGCTGCCCAAGGGCTACACGACTCTTCAATGACACCCTTCTTCAGTATTTCCTGAACCTGGTCGGCAATAACTTTTCGTTCTGATGACGACACTCGGTAAGGCTTTTATCGAATCGGATGGGCAGTGCTGGTGTCAATCCTATGATGAGCGCGAGAACATGGTAAAGGTAGTGGCTTCTCCTCTTGGCAAAAGTCAAACACAGAAGCATGTCGCCTCAAGAGATGGCGTAACGTCTGTTGCTCGTGTGACCGCAAAGTGGCGCTAATCATGCCTAGGATCTGCGACTCGTAAGAGCAACTGCGCTTGCCAGAGACTGTACCTTTCTCGATTTCATCGTTGTTAACGACTGCTACAGAACCTTCAGTGGAATCATCGAAGACGCCAAGCTTCATTTTTTGAGGGAGCACAACCGGCATTGGCGAACAGTTCAGTGCCCACAGAAAGGTTGCTCCTTCATCAACAGATACCAAACAACGAGGGACGAGTATGCCTTTCTTAGCACAATGAACGATGGCAGGTTCAACGATGACGTCAAAAGATGTGGCAGATTCTGGGGCGAACGCCGCAACTGACCTCATTGATCATGGCGGCACTGTCAGCTCATCGGAAACAATCAGAGCATCCTTCGCGGCCTGCGGGGCCTCATCGACGAGGGCAGGAACAACGTCACCGCTGACGGAAAGTTCACCGCTTCCACAGTCGAGGAAAGCGCCACATCCTTGGAGAAAGTCAAGACCGAGAATCACATCGGGGGTACAACGTTGCAGCACAAGAAACTCTGTTGGGAACACCTTTCCTGCCAATAGGACACTAACGGCACAAACTCCGACAGGATGAAGTACTTCCCCACCAACACCACGAAACCTTGTTGATTCGCCCCAAGAAAACATAACTTTGCGGCCAATGCGACTTTTGAAAGAAAGACTCATAACTGATATCGTAGCACCAGTGTCCACCAAAGCACTTGTACAAAAGCCATCTATTTCCACACATATCTTGTTCTTCGACATTATAACTGGCGGAGGCATCTGAGTCAAATCCTGTTGTGCGACCTCACCTCCATCGGTCGTGCTGGCTAGTTTTCCGGCAGCGGCGGTGATGACAGGCGTCATCCCGGCGAAGGGGAACGATGCAGTCGGCCAGATGGAGGCGTCAAACTACGGTCAGAAGCGGGAGAACTGCCACGGTGATTTCCCTGCCATGAGGTACTCCTGAAATAGGCGGGCCAATGGCCGTTGTTGTGACCAATGCCCGCTGGTGGAAACTCTGATGGGAAATGATATCGGGATGTTGGCTCTCTCTGTCGACGACAAAACCGAGCTATATGCCCGGCGATACCGCAACGGTAGCACACAGGGGCTTGGAGGTATGCATTGTACTCCTGGAAGGCATTGCGCTAACGTGGTGGTGGTACAGGTACACCTTCCTTCGGGTCGTAATAGGTGTTGGCTGGCTGATGGGGGTAACTGAAGTGGTCTTCGTACCTCAGCAGCGGGTAGTTATTGCGCTGTGACCTCGGTGGTGAGGGTGGCCTGTAGTTGCAG